GGGGGGACCCTAGTCCTCATGAGTAGTAGACCGCGCACTGGCTACCTTGGCCAACCAAGTCCAAGCCCAAGCCCGCATCGAGGACGGACGGCACCTGGGGCCCCTGGACATCCATCTTTTTGGGCCCAGCATCTGCTGTGATGGGACCCCCCTGAAATTGTGTTTTGGGCTTTCAACTGGCTCTACTGCGGCCACGCCTCCGGCCAGCCCGCTCCCCTGCACTACATCCATCCCCCACTCTTCAGGGATCTCAAATTTCCACCGCACGGTTTGTCCCATTTTATGGTTGCACCAGTCAAGTTGGTAGCGCCAAAAGTTGAGATAGGTAATAAGGTAGCGATAGTCAGGACTCAGTCCACTTCAATCCAATCCAATCGTTGTTCACAGTGCAGTTGCCGTCCGTCTATCCCCCCTCGGTTGGCACTATGCAAGGTACCTACCGTCCATACATGGCGCTAGTAGCAGGCTCTCGCTTTCTCTCAGGCTCTACCTAAATGCAGTTGATCCAGGTACTTCCTGCACTGGGTATGGGGGGGTCTTTTTTTTTTTTTTTTTTTTTTTTTTTTCTTCCCGTAGCCCCATTGCGGTCCAGTTTCTACCGTACCTACCAATGGTACTAGGCTCCACGTCCCTTCCAGATGGTCTACACAGTAGCCGCGAACGAACTGATCTCTCTCTTTCTCCTCACTCACCTCTCCCTCTCCAACCCCAATTCCGTTGCAGTAAAGCAAAAAGAAAGAGGAAGAACAAGAAACTCACCCACAGTCATTCCTTACTTGCACACCAGATTGGTTGAGAACAGGACAAGCCGCCAACACGAAAACGCGGCCCTGACACTGCGTATACATTTCCACTCACTATACGTCCTCGACATTTCTACACGTGCACGAGTTCCAAAATCAACGCCGGCGACTCGACAGACAAGATTGCAAGGTCGGAATCAGAGCGTCGAATCTTTATCAGACATCCAAGTCACTCGCCCTCCTCACCACCACAAGGTCATCAATTTCCATTCTCTACGAACCAGACCCAACCCATTCGTCTCCAAACGAACCAATCTACGACGCTACTGCCCGCCCGTCCTGCGGCGAGCCATTCGATGTTTGCGCGACAGTAGTACTGTACCTACTTACTACCTACATATATTCTTTCATCTGCATCATCTGCCGAGGCGATAACTTACCCCCCGGGCATACTGCCGCGCTCACTCATTTCTTCACATTCGTTTTTCCAACTCCCACTAAATTATTGTTTCCTGTTTACACTTTTTAACTCTCGTTTTTCCTCCACAAAGGTGTGTGATCGTCGCCTGGCCCTGGCCCCAAATCGGTGCTTTCTTTTTCTCGACAAACCTGGTATCCTATATTGGTGAAACGCTCTCGACACAAGCTGTCCAGGTTAAGGTATGGCGATTTGATTCGTTCCCAATATCATCCCAAATCCTTGTTCTTTCATCTCCTCCGTCGTTCTCAGCTTCGGGACAAACAGCCTCTGAAGTCCTGCGACTGGTGCTCGACAGGTTCCATGCATACGCTACGCACTGCCAATTAATACGTGCCGCTCACCCATTCACCGCCGGCCTGTATCCTGTGGCTTTCTCCTAGTACATTCAGCTCGCTAATACCTCGTCTGCCTCTATAGTTACGTATATCGAGCCAGCTCATTCAGTAACCCACTTTGTTCCACGTATATACACATTAGGGTCTCGTTGCCGACTACGACTCTACTGATCGCAATTCTATATGGATGGCACCCGGTACTGATTGGTGAACGAAACACAACCCTCCGGAATCCCCTTATTGGAACCGACGTGTCCTGGTGCCACGCCTTCAACTATTTGTCCAGCTCCTGACCTTGGGGCAACTCCGATAAACAAGATGAATCGATTCAAGACCAAGAAGAAGACCAAGGACGAGATGCCCAGCCGTCCTTCGCAAGACTCTGACTCGTTCGGCTTCAGGTTCAGAAAAGGGAAGAAGAATCAGGAGGAGCAAAAAGCTGAGATCGATTTGGCCACCGCCCTGCCACCCACAGATGATTTCCGGACCAGTCTTCTCATGTCTGGCCTATCGGCACGATTTTCCATGCTGCGAGAACAGGACGACCCGAACACCAAGATTGGCAAGGCTAGCGACGACAGTGTGCTATTTCCCAAAAGACAATCCCGAATGGCGGACTTGGGTGGTTACAATGGTCTCTCGGATATAGCCGAAGTGGAATCCATCAAGAGTCCTTTTGCTCGGATCGACTCGTACGCCGCCTCAGACGCTGACTCGATAAATGGCAGCATCATGAATAGATCAAAACCAATCGAGGGTAATGTCCTGTTTGGCGGAAGACAGAAGATCTACAAGATTGCCGCCGGAGCTACCTCGACGAGGACTGTCGAGGGGGCCATGAGCGGAAGAGCCCTATATGATGACGACGTGGCTCTTTCGGCTTTTCAGAAGTGGAGAAAAGAAGAGAAGGAGCTCAAATCTTTGGAAGGTGAGGATAATGGGTCACGGCGGCCTTCGACCGAAGACCAGGACACACGCCCCGAATCTCCCTTCTCCAATGACTACAACCGGAAGCGGGAAACAACATCCACGACTTCATCGATCCCTTCATTGGCGCGTAATTCGACAGCAGCAACCTCTGTGACATCACAACAGCCTGCTTCTGTCAAAGACTGGCAGGCGGCCTCCGGAACTGCCTCAGCAAGTGCCACATCTACTCCTCCGGTCGAGCGGAGCACCACCAGGACCCGTCGGCTATACGAGACTGGTCTTAACAATGACCTCCATGAACAACAGTCTTCAGCCTTGTCACGCATTGATACATTAACCAGACGCCGCGATCTGGGCTCTCGGACCCCTGATCCGTCGCAGACGCCATCTCCGACTGCTATTGGCTTCATGGATCGCTTTGGAGACAGACGCATTCTCGCCAAGGCAAGCGCTCCAAACCTACGGTCCATGAGTCCTGCCTCCCGTTCGTCTGCAGGTACCCCTGATCTGGGCATTCGTGTCCCCACTGTCGCTGAGGCTAAGCCTAGCTACGTCGGCACGCCACCGTTGAGCCCCCCGATCAGCGAAGCCGATGAACTGTCTGCTTTGCCCATTCAGCCAAATGATCGAGGCAAGGCTACTGCACTCGGGGTTTTTGCTAAGCCGGCACAGCCATACGATGAATCAAGATTCGCTGAGCGGCAGTTGCAACTACAACAGGGTCGAGAAACACCCACACAGAGGTTTCGTGCCGAGTCGGGCGCTTCTTTCACTGGTCGATCCAGATCCTCGTCTTCAGCAAACCGCCAGCCGTATGAGCCAAAAACTGAGACGTTCCGAGCACAATCTCCATTGCAAGAAGAAGAGATGAGGCCACAGACCTTCTTCAGCGAGCATGACGAAGATGCAGACGAATCGCCCGTCATTCCGTCGCAGCCAACTCTCGAACCACTACCGTCTAGAAGTCAGCGCCCCGCTGATAGTGAGCACCCAGCATTTCGGAGCGCTACGCTCCCCACTCCGCTGTCAATGGCATCCAAACCCAGTGGCGAACCATCGCCGACAGTGGAACTTGAATATGCTTTGCCTTCACAGGAAAAGCCGTCTCCGCCGGACTCGCCCACGCTCGGGCCCGCTGTATCAGCAGCTGCTGGACTCAGCGGCATGGTCCGACAGCATTTGAGAGCTGACAGCGGTGCCTCCTCCATTTACGGCGGCACCACACACCACCTCGATTCGAATCTCAAAACTAGCTTTCCCACGCAGCCAGAAGAATACTCGTCGCCATCAAACCATTGGGAACAAGAAGAATCCAGCAGTGTATGGTCTCCCCCCCACCACGGACCCGAATCTGTTCGGATTCTGGATGGGCAATCAAGTGTCCGGGCCAATAATGCCGGACAGTTCGAAGACCAACCAGATCCAGTCTACTGGCAAGATGGTCGTGAGAGTGATGAGTTTGCAAGTCAGCTAGCCGATGGCGCACGAAGAATCAGGGAAAGGCTCACTACCTATGTCGAGTCTGATAGCCGGCCAAGCTCGCCACATGCTGCCCAAGAGAGCAGAGAAATGCCGACTTCATCACGATCAAACACGTTGGGAATATTGCAGGCGAAGTCAAGCCGCGGCTCCCTCGCTGATCGAAGCCGTGACCCTGCCGCCCACTCAAAAGCCATGAAGATGCTCGGCATTTCAGATTCTGGTCCTTCTGTTCTACAGAGGAAAGCTTCATTCGAACGTCCAGAAGTCTTGAACGCTACTCATGCAGGGGACAGACATCCGCAGCCTGTTTCCACTGCTTTCGGAGGGGCCGCAGAGACAAATACTAATGACAATCCCCCAGAGGAACAGAACAACGGGATTCGGGCATTTCGACAAGCCAGGCGCGAGCTTCAGAAGCTCAGAGAGCTGGAAACTCAGCAGAGGCATCATGCACAACCTCAAACATCACTTCCAGAGCCCCCAGCGCCTCGTGCCCCGCCCCCAAGGAATGTCGAACAACGCCAACGTTCCGACAGCAGGGAGCGAAGACCGCCTCCGGTAGCATATCGCACCCGCGCTCCTAGTGAGGACTCGCATACGACGAACTCGAGATCTGCTTCACAGGAGCCATCGCGTGGCGACCGTGACCGAAGTGGCTCGAATTCGAGTGGTGGTGAGCGGCCACACAGCCGGTCTCATGTTCGACCTCCAATGCGTCTCAGGAGCGGTTCTTCAGCTCCAAACGATCGCAATCTGGGTCCTCAGGGTATTACTAGCTCCATGACTCGCTCACCTGGCCTCCCGGGGACGAATATTCGCCGCTCGCCCATCATGCCGCCTCAGGGATATCCGGGAGGTCAAACAGCAAGAGCGAATCAAGGCTATTTTTCTCCCAATGGAAACCTCAACGTACAGCCCTCTCACGGGTTTGAATCGAATCAGCCTTCTCCCATTTCTCCTATCCCGTCGCCTTTGGCACACTCGGCACCTGCAACACCGGGCGGTCTTGCCTCGCCTCAGCGGCCGCCACTAGCACCGACGCCTCATGTCAATTCTGACGGTTCAGAGGTGCCGGGCCTGAACGAAGCAATGAAGCGACCAGTGAAGAAGCGAGATATATCTGAGCCGACGTTTGTCATGTCCACCTCTCGGGTTCCAACCGTTGAACTGCCTCCCGAGGCTGCCACCAACCGGTCGCGCAGCAACAGCAGGTCTCGTTCGAACAGCAAAGCGGATTCGTACGCTGCGCCGCCGTTGCCTCCCATCAATCCAAGACGACGCCAGGACACTTTGAAATCACGCACCGTCTTCGGCAACCTAACAGGACGTAGTGGCGAGACCAGTGACACGGCAAATTTGGGTCGTAGCAGCACCATGCCAATGCCCATGATGGGTAGTGAGGACAATCGCGGCGCATATGATGCAAACAACGAGGAGTACAGGCCAGAGCGCCGACCTCTCCGAAAGATGCCTGATGATGTCCAGCCGGTTGGTCCAATGATGCGGGCGCCCAATAACAACAATGCCCCGGCTTACGGCCCTCCAGCTTCCAGAATGGTTGTCACTCAGAACAGTGGTAGCCGCGGCATGGGCGTCCCGGGCGGCATGATTTGAAGCTCCTGCCACGCCTATTACGCTTTGGGTTGACGTTTTCCTTCCTTCTATCTTTCTGGTTTTTTTTTTTTTTTCCCTCCCTTCCATGTTATGGCTCTGACGAATTTTATGAAATATTGGCGCTTTGTGGTTGCAGATATTGTACAATTAGCCCCGTTACCTGTCTCCTACTTTTGCGTCTATATGTTTGTCTCTGCATAGGTACATCAAGCAGGATTACGATGAGTAGCCCCGGAGTATAAAGGCACTGCGCTAATATGGTTGGAATGTTCCAAGAGTGGACAGAATCTGCAATAAGGTTTGGGTCAGGTCTGGCCACGGGGTGGGGGCGGAGGATGGGAAGTTATAATGTAGTCTTACACTTGACTTGGTTCATCATCTTTTCGGCGTCCTTGATTCGCTAGCATGAAGAGATACCTAGAAAGCGGACTGCACGCCTTCACCGCAACAACAGTTTTCAAAACAGTTGAAAATCAAAGACATGAAGAAGATCTTGTTAATCGTTATTTGTTGTAGTATCATAATACCATGAACTCGTTTTTCTCCCAAGTATTTTCATGTCACTTTAGTGCACGCTTGGGATATTTTTCACCATGTTGATACCATCGCCGCCGCCACTTTGATCATGAGGCTTGTTGATTCTTTGAAACCCCACCCTCTCGTAGAATGTGACCACCTTTTCATTCTCGGCTGCAATACCGATCCAGATACCCTGGCCATACTGCTGAGAGCTGTCCCTGACGCTCTTGACAAAGGCGTCGATTAGTTTTGGGCCCCAACCTTTGCCTTGCCACGTCTCCAGCAGGTCTATATGCATGGTGGCTCGCCACTTGTCGGTCAAATGTTCGTTGCCATGGAACAAGAGCCACTGAACGTTGTAAGCGGTCTGAGCCATGGCAACGACATTGACCTTGTGGCCGTCGCCGGTCGTGGTACCGGGCGCCGTCAGTCCCAGGAGCGAGTCGTCCATGATGGTCCAGGGCTCGCGGGTCTCGAGGTTCGAGGGTGCGGCAACGGTGGGGGTTAGCACCGAGGTCACGTAGGATGGATAAGCGGCGGCAAAGGCGTGTATGTCTGGACACCCAATGCAGTACCCGACGGCCTTTCCCGAACCGTCATCCAGAACCCAGCAGGTGGATGGCGAGAGAAACGTGTACTGGTGCGTCCATAGATATGGCGACAGCTTGGTGGCTACTGGGGAAGATGAGAGGGAGAGAGGAAGGGTGGCGCGGCACTGTCGGTCTGTGTCAGTGACGGATGTCGAGTGTGCGTGTGTGTGTGTGTGTGTGTGTACGTAGAAACGGGGAGGAGAGGGAGGCCCAGCGGTGGCAACGTACAATATGAGCGCAGGCTTCAGAATCAGTTTCCTGATAGCGGCGTATAAAGGCCATTGTAAACTAGATTGCAGACGGCCCAATCTCTGACATGAGTGTGATGGGAGTTTGGGGGGTAAGGGAGAAGATGTTGTGTGTAGACGACCTCAAGTCTAGGCTTCTGATACCCCTCTGCCTCCAATGTCGCCAAAATTGACCACTACTATTTATTCGTTTCACAGGCACGAAAAGTGTCGTACTGGGTGAGACGAGAGAGTTTTGTGGTGATAATGTACGCACCCGATGGATAGATAGCTAGGTAACCTAGGTTAGCTATTTATGGAACAGCCTTTCAGAGGGGCAGCAGCAACAGTTGCCAATCTAGAGGTAAACGTAGTATGTAACCCCACTTTCCCCATTTGTGTGGCAGCAGCCAGCCATATATATATATATATATATATGTACGTATACACACATACATGCAAGTACAAGTATGAATAGATATCTATATATCTTCAGTGCCACCAATTGGATAATCGAAAAATCACATTTTGTGAGACGGATTTGCATCCGGATGCTGGTGTAGAAATATACACGGGAAACGATTTGTATTCGCGGTGTTTCGGTCAAGGCGGTCATTATCGGTGTGGCTGCCTGATGATATCTATCAACAGCGTGGATATATGAAAATATATACTCGGCTACTGGGTCTCTGTTTCTTTCTTGGATTCACTCTTTGGCTCTGGTTCTCCCTTTTTGGGTTCATTCTTTGACCCAGCCTCATTTTCATAGTCGCCTCCCTGCTTCTCATACTCTTTTGCCAATTTGGAGGCCTGGAATTTATCATATAAGTTAGTGTATCCATATACTTGATATATGAAAGACATTTGTTACCTTCCATGCCGACCATTGACCTTCACCGCCGCCGCTCTTGTTGGGCTCTTGTTTGATTTCTGCACAGTACATATGATGATTAGATAACCTTCAAAATGTGAGGGCACATTGACAGCCCATGCCACCAACCTTCTTTGAGACTCTCTCGCAGTTCGGGATCGGTTGGCTTTCCTATACGCAGACGATTTTATTTTTATTAGTCCCAATGCCATGATTATTCAGTCGAGCCCTTGATGCCTCCTCCTACCTTTACTTGAGCCCATATTGTAAGTGATTATTTTGGGTTTCTTTTTCACCTTGTTCGTTCGACTTGCGTGCTTTGCTGCGTGATTGATTTGTTTCAACAGACTTCTTGATGGCGTAGAGAATAGAGATGGAGTCAAAAGAGAATATAACTTTTGGAATTCTCGCGGAAAACTCCAAGTACAAATATGATGATAAAGACATGCGAGTCTATGACGACTGCGATATTCCACATGGAGAAAAGGAAATAAATACTACATGGCGTCTAACGAGGAATGCAGGAACCAGTTGGCAGTGGCAGTGGCAGCCTTAGCGCCGGGAGTGGCCGTGCAGATTACATCATTGACACATGGACGACGGGGTCGTTTGTCTGCTGTAATCATCAACCTAGATACATGTTTAGAAATGGAATGTAGTCAAAAGTGAAGGCTGCGATACTAGCCATCATCAAAGACTGGGAGGTTTCCGGGCCATTGACCATGGGTCAGGTCAGTCTGGTGCTTTGGTGGTCTCATTAATGCCCCGACACAATGGTAGACACATGGCTCCTTAAAAAGAGAAAGACAATGACCAATATTCACATTCTTCTTTCCCCAGGCTTCTCCCTTTTGCTGGCTTCATCAAGGACGCGTGACGCGCAGGACTTGGGGGGAGAATTTCGGGGAAATACGCCCTGATCATCTTTGACCGACTCGATGAAACTTACTCGGTGCCCTCGGGGGGCCGTCCATCTCCATGGTGCATTGACGGACGATCCAACTACCGTGAAAGGGTTGACCATGGCAATTTTTATTTTTTTTTTTATTTTTTCTTGGGAACCTCCTCCTCGTTGCCTTCTTTTTGACAAGCCACCATGACATGTTTGTGTCAATGTTGATGGTCAATACCGCGGGAATACCTCCAACCTTGGAATAGGTAGTCGCGTTAAAACCTCGCCTCCCAAACTCACAAGATACCATGACCAGAGTAGAGAGCGAGCAAAGCTTTGCCCCGGACCAGATGGGCTCGCTCTACTCTGGCTGCTGCGTAGGTGGCACAGGTGGGAGCGACAAGTGATGGATTGGACCAATTTTCCCTCGGAGGGGGGGGAGACAAGAGCCTTGGCTGACGATGATTTCGTGGCTCTGCCAATCACAAAACCAGCCATGTCAACGCCGGTCTCGCTAGGCTGACAGACGAGAGGAGCGAATCATGTCTGCCCATTAGAAGTTGACATGCTCTAATTGAATGACGCTGGCCAGTCACGAGCGACGGCATGGGCAATGCTGCGCGCGCTAAGCCCCACGATCAATTCTTCATGGGCTCGGAGTCCCCAAAAACCAAAAAAATCTGGGGTGGTTTTTTTTGGTATCTGGGGTTGGGCTTTGTGCGGGGGTGACCCCCGTATAGCTTGTACCTACAATACCATAGTCGGAAAACGTCTCTAGAGTCGCTCAAGACGGGAGGACGAGGCCATCTCTGATTCGACAAGGACGGAGGCGATGCGGGGTTGAGTTTGAGAGACTTTGACTCATCCCTAGGCAAATGTCATTGAACCTTACTCGCCTACAAGACGCAAAGGGGATCTGAGGTGTCGTCGACAATATAGGTAGCAGGCAGTAACACGGCGAGGGGCGCGGGGGATGGGGGATGGGGGCGAGCAGGGGAAAGAAGATGATGAGACGGCGTGTGGGCACACCAAGATCATTGGCTGGTTTTAATTTAGTAGGCGTCTTTGGAACTGCGCCGATCTGGAGGCTTGAACATCAGCCCATCCCCATCATCCGGTTATTGACCGAGTGGGTTGGGGGAATTTGTGAACCCACGGCACGAATGGGAATTAAATAGTATCGCTGTGGTCCGAGTGTATATATATGAGAGAGACTGCCCCTTTGCTTCTGCTTTGTGCTTAGTCCTCTTGAACTATTCTTGTCCTTTTCTTTTGGGTGTCATCATTTAACATTCACCTTCCAAATCAACAGAGAGAGAAAACAACCACTTTACTTGTATATATATCTTGCTCTCAACCCCCCCAAAAAACTACCAAGACCACTACCAAATCCTTCATTACCATGTCTCCCTACTCAAAGTACTGCTGCAAATGCGGCGGCATGCTCGTCATTAGCAACAAATGCACGTCTTGTCAACATACGGAATGTGGCAGTTGCTTGTGAGGGGACATCCCTTCTTCTCGGTGCCAAAAATTGGACCCGCAGCTCCTACATTAATACAGGTAAGAGGGCAAAACTGCTGCATTGGTGTAGTAGCATCATCACATGGGCAATTCACAGTCATAGCTAACCCTGGCCTAGATTTCCACGACCAATCTACTGGTCCATGTATTGATTATTTGTTCTTGATTCTGCTTGTTTGCAGGGAATGGCGTTTACAAAGAGATACCAATGAAGCGATAGCAGAAGCCAACTTCAGGACATGACGAAGTAGCCAGATTGGATTTCATGATTTGGAGTGCAAAGGAAATGCTCCATTTTGCCCGTCGACGGCGCATTAATGCAATTTGAAAATATAACAACACAAATTTGACTACACTGAAAAAAAGAAAAATTGAAAAAAGGTGACGGGAGTTGGACCAGTGGGCCAACGGTGATGATTGACGTCCGTTCATGTGCGACATGATGAGAAACACCTTTGATTATTGCGACTTGGAAAGACTATATATTTCTATGACGAAAAGCAATGCTTCCATCGAGTGTTCAGCCAGCAGCAAGATGACCACCAATGGGTCCATCATGGCTTATCTGTTGGTCTTTTACCTCAATACTCACTTGTAGGGGTGGTGGTGGTGGTGGTGTCCGTGTAAATATACATCTCAGTCTACCAAGATTCCCGGAACATCAGATGCCCAGGAGTCGGGCCCAGTTTCTTCCCCCCATCTACGGCACAAAGACAAGGCGTCCCTTGATCGACTTGTCATCCCACGAGTTTTCGATATCGGCAAGTGGTATCTGTGTTGTAGCTGGTGCAGGCCACTTTGCTGCAAGGGGTACCAGCTTCTGCAACTCGCTGGCCAATGCCGACATGCTCCAGCTCCCAGGCCCGGCACCTCTAATGGTGAGGTTGGTAGACCTTAGCAGAGGCCCTGGCAGCGACATGTCGGCCTTGCCAGAAAGGGTGCCGATTTGAATGTACTGCACCGCCTTCTTGGTGCGCAGACTTGTGAGCAAGTGGTGGGCGAGGTCGCCATAGACGTAATCAAGAATGACATCTGGCTCGACAGCGGAAAAGTCGGTATCCGTCATCTTGTCCCCGAGGACAATGTAGTCGTCGAGCGCCTCGACAGCCCTCAGTGCCGTCTCGTCCCTCGCGACGCCAATGACTTTGGCAGCGCCCAGGGCCTTGGCAGAGTGCACAGCCAGGCGCCCACTGGCGCTGGTGGCGCCCACGATCAGAGCCGTCCAGTCGGCAGCAAGATGACTTGTACGCTGTGTAATGGCCATCCAGCTGGACATGGCCGGGTTGACGCTCGCCGCAAAGGAGACGGGGTCTGTCCCTGAGGGCAATGCGACCAGACTGCTGCGCGGTACGTTGACATACTCGGCAAAGGTGCCAAAGTGGTCACTGATGTGCATGAAGTAGTAGATGGAGCCAGTGGACTCATCGCGACCGACTCCATCGACGCCGGGCAGGTGAGGGAGGGTCTTTGCTGAATAGTGACGTCCGGCGGCACGAGAGCGCACGACTTGATGGGCACCGGCAGCCAAGACACGGAGCTGGATTTCCGAGTCTTGGGGAGCCGGCGGCTTGGGCACCGTTGCGCAGCGGGGCTTTTCCGTCCAAGCTGTGACCTGGGCGACCTGCATCATGATTGTTACAGTCTTGTTATTGTTGTTGGTGCTGCTGCTGCTGTTTTTTGTCGTCTGGCATGTACATACGGGGAGGGGGTTCCAAGAGGTTCCAAAGGGGAGAGATTGGATGGTAAAAGGTGACTCTGCTCTCTGTAAGATATCTGTATGGCGGTCTGTTGTATTCCTCTCTGTGGGTTTGAAGGAACAAGGCAAGTCTGGTGGTCTGGCTGTTTGACGGTTGTCCTGTCTGGGTAGAGATATATATATTCAAGTGAGGGAAACAAATCAATGGGTGCAAATTGCTGTCGTCTAGCTCAGGCCTGATGCACACGCTGGCACGACTTTGCTTTTTTTTATATTGTGAAGCTGGGCGCGGACTTTCGGGGCCATGGGCAGCGTCTTTCTCTTGTTGCTTTTTACTTGTCCTTATCCGTCCTCTCTCTCAGTCCAAGGGATGGACCAGACTTACCAGGTACATACGGAGGTTGTCAGCAATATCCGATATGCGACCATGACTTGCATACCACACATACACCGGGGAAAAAAGAGAAAAAAGATTTTGTAGCTGTGAGAAGCGATACTGGCTGCCTGGCCGCCCTGCCGTGGGGAACACTGAAGCTATTATGTGACGGTTTCCCACTGGTATGAAACCGTCTTCGGGGGCGGACTTTTGTGGATATCTCCGACTCCATTACATTGTGTGTAATTAATTCCTAGATGCGAAAAATTCAAGCATTCCAATCTGCCCTTGAATATTATTTTTCTCTCTTGAACTAAATACCACATGGAAAAATCCCTATTGCATCATTATCAATCTGTATTTCTCATTTCTGCTGGCTGCTTAAAGCCCCAAGTGGCACTGTGACGTCTGTAGTCGCCAGCGTGTAATGATTGATATCACCGTCATGACATGTTCCTAGCAAGTTGAATAGACGATTACTACACGGCAAAGAAGGTATGTAGTGATCTATCGTCTCTAGGGAGGAGAGCCTTGATATTCATCAAAGGCACTATAATATAACAACCGATGTGTTTCTCCGCGCCATTGATCACAGAGAAGGGAGAGCACGAGGCAAGAAGAAAAGAGCCAGCGTCTAGAATTTTTTCAGACTCTGATTCGGAAATAATCACACGACGGCTACCACGGCTGTCTGGCGATTCTACATCCCGAGAATTCAGTGCAGTATTTATTTCTTGACATGGACATTGGGAGAGGGCAGACATGCAGGTTTCCAACTAGACTCGGCGCGAACCTGAATCGCCACTGTTACCCAGCAGGCTGCTCTCCTCGTCCACAGAGGGCCTCCGAACTTGCCCAGTCGACTTTTTGCTCTTCTGCAGACTGACCCAAATCGCAGCGCCAATAATGAGCAGCGCCCCAATCAAGCTCAAGCCCGACGGTGTAGTTCCCCAGACAATCTTTTCCAATATCAGGGCAAATACCAATTGAGTATACTATCATCATGTGTCAGCCACCATTATTTCAACAACAAGGCCCTTTGGGTTCGAGGGGAGGCAAGTTCTCTGTAGAACAGGGAGACAAGGTCGCCAGATAGGCATTGAGGTATACTGACAATGAGATTGGTGGCCCTTCCACCCTTTTCCCGCTGCAGTCCCTCGGTGATGAGGAACTGGAGCAGGAAACCCGCAATACCAATCGCGACCAAGAGAGCCCTGCAGATAGGTAGTTGTTCATCAGCCACAGGTCGGGCAAGTTTTCCATGGGTAGGGGGGGGAAGAGTTTCGTACCATTGCGTAGCGTTCTCTGGCGTCTTGAATTCCAGGTCTGGGTGTATCAGGATAATCAGACACGAGCCAACAGTTGCCACAACGGCAAAATAGTTGACGCTGACGAGCGAGTGGGCTCGCGTGCCAATGACGCGGATCGTAGAGTAGGCCGTCGCAGCCCCAAATGACCCTATGACCCCAAGCAGAACAGCGAGGGACCGCTCTGCCGGTGTCGCAGGTACAGCAGGCACTATGCCACTTGGCCCATCAGCATCAGCCATGGTCCCGAGACTGTTTGCCGCGTCCCCGTCTCCGGACACAGGGAATATGAATGGCGGGCGCGCAATGAACAGGACCCCAATAAACGCAATCACGCCTGCGAGAGCTTCCTGAACGGTGAAGGGCTCCTACAACCACGTATATGAATATCAATATCAATATCAAACTTGTAGGTGGCCCGTCTCCCCCCCAAACGACGGCAGTGTGGGGAGGGGGCGAGGAGGCATATAACCAACCTTGAGTACGACAAAACACATGAAAGCCGTCAAGGTCGGGACGATGAAGCTGATGACGGTAGAGTCGGATAGGTTTAGGTAGGACAAGGAGTCTGAGATAAGATCCAACTGTCAGCGCCAAAGCCTTGTACCCGAAAGGAACCATCACGTATTCAGGATGAGGACGGCTAACAGTAGGAGCAAAACAGTCCGATGAATCCAGCAAAGCCGCGGAGGACGAGCAGTCCTCTGATCTGGGGATTGCCGAGGGGGAAGTCGGGAACCTTTTTGATCCACATGTAGAGAGACCCCAAGATAGCAGTGGCCAGCATACGGACAAAGATGATTTGCAGTGCGTGGAATTTGGTGGTGAAACCTGTCTCCAGGAGGCGTGTCGTTGTCGTCATCTACATGTGGTATGTGTTAGCCCTCGACGGCCTCAACAGAAAATAGGGACGAGTATATAAACAAGGGAAACTCCCCGGTTCCTCGACATCAACATACCAAAGAAGCAAAAACCTCGGCCAGGAACACAAGAAACAGGCCAAGGTTCCTGTTGTAGAACTGGCCAAGTCTCTCCCATGCATTTGGTGGCTGGTCAAGAGCCTCCGATGCTTCACCTCGTCCGCCTTCCGGGACGACACTCCCCGAACCCATGGTATTTGAAGGCGACATCACACGGCTAGAGTCATGGCGCTCTTGGCTGGTATGTGTACCCTTGCTGTTGGTACCGTATGTCATCCTCCTTCGCCCCTCCCTCTCTTTTTCTTTTGGCTGGGCTTAAAAAAAATGGCCAACACAGGTGCGCATTGGGATAGCTCGAGTGACTTTCCTTGAATGGCGTATATCTATAGGGTTAGTCTTTTAAACGTGGGTTTTGAACTTTACTGGATTCTGCTTTGTTATTTAGTAGCCTTGGTTTTACTTTCCCCTCTCTTTTTTTCATCTTTTTATTCCCCCCCCCCCGCCCTGACCTCCTCCAGTATATCGCTTAGCGGGGCTGGCTTAAGTTAGCGGGTGTCGGCTATTACTACTAGCTACCTAGGTACACTAGTCGTTCCGAAATAGGAGGGGCGGAAAGTTGCATATTTTTTATAGGCACGCAGTATCGAGACTGGGGTAGATATTATACGAGGATTCAAACTACAGTATTGCGCAGCACACCATTATTGTAATTAGGCAAATAATGAAAAGCGTCTAATGGTGAGTTTAGTGGAAGCTCAAGCCTCCAGCCAGACAAGGCAAACGTGAAGCATTAGAATAAGTCAATGGTTCATTAAGAAGAGCCTTTGGTTTTATCTCTTATATAAAATCTATATCTATACTAGGCCTCATCTGGTCTACTATACTATCCTTTACAAAAGAGTATTATTCTATGTACAACGTCCTAAAGACGTTTGTAAAGCCTTCTTTGATTGTACAGCCCTTAGGTACATATCAAAGGACAAGAGACGAGACGTAACATGCGTAGGAGGGACTTCTGTTACAAAGATCACTCCCGGGTATTATTGAATTATCTTTCTTTAAAACGGGTATTTGAGAGCATGGTATTGCTCAGAACAGGCTGGAACGTGACAACCTCGTCCTACGACTGAGCCTTGGTCGAGACACCCGAGGACTCGGCAGTCTTTTCTGCTGGCGCAGAGGTGCCAAGTGTAGGAACCTGCTCCTTGGTCGATTTCTTGGGTTGTTCTGTCTTCTTGCCCTTCTTTGGAACTCGGGTGAGCCAGTAGAGGAAGAGAGCACCGAAAACATTAAAAATGATAAAGGCCCAGAGGATGCCAAAGTTGCGCCAGCGGTCCGAGTAGTAAGACTGGACGCTGGCCAAGAACACATTGGTGTCGCGAATGGTGCAGTAACTGCAAGTGTCGGTGGCGTTGTCATCCTGCAGATATCCTCCTACTGCGGCGATGTATGGGCCCAAGTAATCGATACAGGTGCTGCCCGAGGGCGGTTCGAAGCTGACATATTCGTTGGACGCGCAGACCACTTCTGTATTGGCAACTGCCGTGGACAGCATGGCTGAGATCAGGTACGAGAAGGGACTGACACGATACATGAAGATCCAGAAGCGAGGGAAGGTGCTGGGGCTGGCAAGAACACCACAGAAGATCAAACATAGCATGAAGAGCAGGTTGGCAATGTTTCCTCCAGCCTCGGCCGTCTCGAAAGCAGCAATGATCATATCGGTAAAGGTCGACGTGAAGAGGAGGAACATCCAGAGAAGCAGGAACATGAGAGCACCGCGCTCGTGTTCCTGACCCGCCGCAATCGCATTGTTGTTCAGGCCAACAGGGTAGTACCAGCACACAAACATGAAAACAGCCATTAGCGTGTTCCACGGAAGTTCCACGATGATCTGAGAGAGCATAAAGACCTTCCAGCCGTAGACCTTGGATGGTCGCTCCCGAACCTCGTACAAGGATCGCTGGACAACAAAGTGAGGCATCGTCTGCTGAACTAGCTGGCCAAACACCGTGAGCAGGTTGAAAATGGCAAACATTTGGTTCTGGAGACCTTGGATCGAGTTGGGGGCGTCAAAGAACACAAAGCCGATGAAGAGGGCGACGAGAATGCACAGAGCCGCCTTGGAGTAGATGTAAGAGGGGGTACGCCAGTACTGCTGGAAGACACGGTAGGAAACCTCGGTGAGCTGCGTCCAGAAGCTGGCTGCAAACTCGCGGTACGAACCCTTGTCCTCGGTGGGAGGGGGCACCTCGGGGGCATCATCCTTTAGTCGCTGCAGCTCAGCCTGAACGTCACGATAGTTGGTGCTGTCGCGCCATGTCTGGAACCAGTCAATATCGGTGTGACTCCCGGGGGCGGCGCCAATGGCGTCCAACATCCATTCAGCCGGGTTGGCATCGGCAGGGCACGGGGGAGCACCATGAGACTCAAAGTAGGAGATCATGCCCTTGGAGTTCTCCCCAATGTCGCCAAAGTAGACCGTCCGGCCGCCTTTGGCAAGGAACAAGAGACGATCAAATCGTTGGAAAAGCATGGCAGAGGGCTGGTGGATCGTGCAGAGAATAGCTTGGCCAGCCTTGGTCAGCTTCTCGAGCAGGTCCAGAATGGCCCACGAGGTTTGAGAATCCAGACCAGACGTAGGCTCATCCACAAACAGCAGAAGAGGGGGCTTGGCAGCGAGTTCGACTCCAATTGTCAGGCGCTTGCGCTGCTCAACGTTGAGACCTTCTCCGAGCACACCCACGACGGCGTCGGCGTACTCCTCCATGTCGAGCAGTTTGATCACCTCATCGACGTAGGCAAGCTTCTCAGCCTTGGGAACATCGGCGGGTTGGCGAAGTAGAGCCGAAAAATTGAGGGCCTCTCGAACTGTCGTGGTTGCCAAGTGAAGATCCTGTTGTTGGACATAGCCCGTCTTGCGCTGGAACGAGGTGTCCCGCAGGCGGCCATCAACCAGCATCTCACCAGTAATGACGCCCATTGTGATACGACTGGCGAGAGCATCAAGCAGTGTGGTTTTGCCGGCACCAGACACACCCATGAGAGCCGTGAGGGTTCCAGGCTTGACCCAGCCGTCAACGTTGTCCAGAATGCGTCGCGGCTCTCCCTTGATCTTGATATCATAGCAGACATTGTTCCAGTGAAAGACGCTCGTCGAGCCCTGCAAAGCGCCACCGGTTGCCTTCTCGCCAGTGCCGGCAGTCGCTCTTTCGTTGGTGGCTATGGGACCAACCCGTGCCATGCCTTCTTCAGCATCATCCTTGCGCTCCTTGAACTGGGCCGGCTTGTAACCACGGCGGAAAACCAGAACCTCGCCCTTGGACTTCTTCTCCGAGACGAGCTCGGCCGAGACCATGTAGGTGCCCAGGAAGAAGAGGATAAAGGCAATAGTAATGCCCCAGTTGCGCCAGCGGTTCTCGTTGTAGTACTGGAAAGCACTGTTGATGTAGGCATCGCCGTCGACGTAGGCGCTGCCGGCGACCGAGGCCACAGCACTGCAGACATGGTTCAAGGAGCCGACATTCTCATATCCAGGGACCGCGGCACTCGGGACGTAGTCCGTGCACTCAAACTGGCGTCCGTGGAACTCATTGGCCATGAGCGACTCAAAGGCATACGCCAGGGGATCGAGATAGTTGATCCATCGGCACCAATCAAGCATGTAGCTAATGGGGATGACGAAACCGGTAAAGATGACGAGGGCGAGAATGAGAATGGCGGCCGGCACCATTGCCTGTGACAGGGTCCGTGAGGCAGACGCGATGGTGCGGAAGATCATACTCATGGCCAGGACCACGGTGAAGGAGATGAGCAGGAAGAAGAAAAAGGCACCAGGCTCACGCCTCAGGTTGGTCAAGAAGTAGAGGGTGAGGTTGTACACAATCGTGTTCATGACCTTGTACGGCATGTCGGTAAGCATGGATGCCACAGCTTCGGCCGAAGGATGATACATTGCATATCGACTCTGCTTTTCGACGATAGGACGTTGCGCGTACAGTGTGAGAATCTCCAGGGCCGAGGCAAAGGCGTTGGTGAGACAGGCAAAGAACAGCAGTGCTCCTCTCTGAAAGAAACTGCCCGTGGTAGGCTGTAGATTGTAAAAGACACTGCCGATAATGAGGGCCATGATGAAGTTGCCAATCAGAGAGCCGAGGGTCAGGCTAGGGTCGCCAATCAGTCGGCGGAAGCCGCGCCACAGGCAGAGCTTGACCTGTTGCATGTACGAGAGCGTATACGGGGACTTGAGGCGCTGTGCCTTGGCCTGTGCCTGTCTCTTGTTGGCACGGAAGGCCTCTGCGTCGGGGCCGTTGAGGGGGTGCTCCTGCTTATACGCCTCAATATCGGCCTGCAACTTGCGGTACTCGGCACTGTTCTTCCAGGCGGCGGCAAACTCATCTGGTGTTCTCGGAGCCTTGCCTTGGAATCCCTCACGAACAATGCGTTCCTGGGGACTGGTCATGGAGGTCAAGAAATCCGGAGCGGTCTGGCGGGCCGGGCACTCGAAGCCCAGGTTGACAAAGTACTGCTTGGCCTCGTCGGCGCGACCAAAGAAGATCTGGCGCCCCTCGTACAACACCAGTGCCTTATCAAAGAGATCATAGGCACTCTGGGGTGCTTGGTAGATGGAAACGCAGGCGGTTGCTCCAAAGAGCTCGGTCTGCAAACGCAGAGTTTTGCAGAACTCGACAGCATTGGCACTGTCGAGACCTCTAGTGCTGTTATCCCAGCATTGCAGTGGTGCACGGCTGAGTGCTGCTTCGGAAATAGTCACACGTTTGCGTTCTCCTCCAGACACACCGCGAACCTAGAATGTTGCAATCACGGTCAGACTCTGGCTTTGTAACAGGACGAGGCTAAGAATCACGTGACGAGAAAAGGGGCAAGATGAAAGCAGAGATCTTTGGGACAAGTCTGGGAACATATGGTTACGTACATATTCGTTACCAACGCGGGTGTTGATTGTGTGGGAAATGCCAAACATGGCCATGGTGACGTCCCTCAGGTGGTTTGAATATGTCATCTTGTCGACACCCTCGGGCAATTCTCTTGGCGCACGTGCCTGAGCGGCAAAGGTCAGAGTATCACCCACTGATAACATGGGAAAGTGAACATCGACCTCGGCAGTGTATATGGCCTCGCCCTTGTGGTGGCTGTGCATCTCCTTGGCGGTCACACCTATTATTGACGGAAAAATGAGCGGCTTTGTTCTCACAAGCGACGGCAACAGCGACAGTAGCGGCAACACTTACCCTGGTAGTTGAAGTACGAGTTTTCGTCAACGTAGATACCATTTGTCTCGCCGGCAATAGTCTTCAAGAATGTAGAACAGCCCGAGCCAGGCGGTCCCAGAACGACCAGCATCTCTCCTTTGCGGACCAGACCGTCGAAATCGCGCAGGATATCGATTTTGCGCGGCTTGCTGAGACCAAAGGCCTTGCGCACCAGACCTGCTGCGTCTAGCCAGACATTGGCGACATCCTTTTGGTAGTCAGTGGCCTGACCGAAACCGTGGACATTGACGTTTTGAAAGCAGATGCCAGCGGACCGAAAGCCGGCAGTGTCCATGTCCACAATGGCCTTTGCCCAAGCGCGCGCACTGAAGTTCTTGGAAGCCGGGTTGAGTGGCGAGCTCTCGTCGGCGTGAAAGGGGTTGCCGCCTTGAGCGCCGGCGTTGGACTGCGTCGTGTAGCGGCGGGCCAAGGAGTGCACAATCGAGTGGCGCCTCTCGAGCTCAGAGTCGTCCCCTTGTTGTGTGGCGTCAGAGTCTGGCGTACTCACCCCATCCACCTGAGCGCCGGATTGGGCATGAGGCCGTGTCGAACCACGCGACACGGTCTTGTCCAACGGGTTGCCGCCATCCTCGGCCACGGCATCGTGAACAGCCGGCGAGGCCAGGGGCGCGCCCGTAGCCTGAGCTGTCCTGTCGTAATTCATGAAGCCGGTCCCGCCGACGATGGACATCGTTGCGGGCGACTGAAAAGGTTGGACGAGAAAGTCCGCCGAGATATTCTTGTCCTTTTGTTGGTGTGATGGTGTCGTTTTGTAATTGTCGGGTGGCGTAGATGAAGAATCCCGAAAGCCTACGTACTAGGCAAGGTAGATATTATTGACTGTTTGGTTGGATGCTGTCGCAAACTCGTGTGAATGGGTGGCAAAGAGAATTACAAGAGTCTTTACAAATCCCCTGATGGCGTCGTCTTGGATTCTATAGATGAGAAAAGAAGTGAGAATGCGGGTAAATGATGAAGAAGAGGATCCAGCAAAGGACTCTATCGTCGTTCTCTTTCTTGCGTTCCTGTCCTGCTTCTTCCTTTTCTAAATGACCATCTATTGTTTGCCTGTGCCAATAGATTGATCCAAAGTGGAAGTCTGCAATTGAGAAGGAGGTCTCAGGTTGTTATTTTTCTTGGAGGGGGGCGGGCGCCTAGACTTGGGGGGGTATCGGCGACATTTTATTGAAGATCCTCAATGCGTTTCGTTTTCGTATTTCTTGGGGGGGTATTTGGGCGGGCCCCGGGCTGGAGGCTCGGGTTACTTCAAGACCCCTAGGGCCATCCAAAAAGGTAGAAAGAGTCCGGGGAATTGGGACGCTAGTTTGATGATTGTTGTACATTTTGGGCAAGTCTGCGTGTGTACATGTTGTCGCTAATGAATAACGTGCAATGCGGTGGTACTATTTCATATGAGTCCTCTTTTTTTTTTTCTTAGGAGTCTGGAATTGCTGGCATAACTAGGCCGCAGAATACTAGGTGCCCACCTCCCCCCCCGGTATTCTGTAGGTCGGCAGCCTTCTAGAACATGGCACAACTTTGCTGCCTACAAGGCTACGCCGCTCCCCCTGTCTGTCGCGATGGATGATGTTCTTTCTCTGTTGACATTTTGTGTCACTGATCGCTATAGCTCCATGCAAAACCCTGTGTCTTGTACAATATTTGCCCTATCTACTCAAACAAAGGAATCGACACATGTATACGTGTTAGGTAAGATATAAATCCGCTCTCTGACCTGTTACATTCTCGTTCTTTCTTCCTTCCCCGTCGCAATCATGGTATAGACATAAGCACTAGCAGTGGCAGGATCGGGTTTAAGTTGTATCCTCTTTTTTGCGTGGTGTCATCGAAAAGGTGTATTACAGGACAGGGTACGAATGCATGTTATATATGTGCAATATAGTTCATGTGGGTTGCCCCAGCAAGACTGGCTGACTGACCTGCAGCGGCCACCGGGTTGTTGTTAGTCCCCGTCTCCCGGGTCGCAGAATCGTGCCGAAACTGTTCTCTCTTGTCTCTTTCCCCTGCAACCACATGGCCGTGGACCTGTGACGATTGCATCATGAAATGCGCGCTGATGTTTTGCGTGCATCTTGCCCTTTGCTTGTCGAATCCGATTCATATTGATCAAACAAAGTCCCTTCACATGCAGGTTTGTTATATATATAAAAAAGAGAGGGTGGGTGAAAGAGTAGTGATGAATCTAATAAGATCGAACTAAGATGAAAAAAAAAATACATCCCTGCCTAGGTAAAAGTCGTCACAAAGCGGCTCCCCCCCCCCCTTATTAAATGGAGAAAAAGAAGAAGAAAAGATGGCCGCATTCGTGTGTACGTATACATACTACACCGTCCTCGGCTAGAGGTGACTGGGTAAGGTAAAATGTGAGGATCCTCCCAGAGCCAGGACTAGTATTGAGACCTCCTTATTAGTGGACGGTAAACCACGATAGCGCCCGCGCAAGAGGCCCGCCTTTGTCATCAAAATGCGTCAAAATAAAATTACTACCCATTCGTGGCACTCTGTGTTGAAACTACACCACCATGTATTTTAATGGTCGTACTCGGTTTTGTAAGCGCACTACTAACTCTAGGGGAATAAGTACCGCGCTGGGTGTACGAGAACTACGGTGTATGTATGGACAAGATGGTCCTGTTCAAGTTTTGTTGGGTCTCATTGCATTTCCGTTACCTTGACGCGTATGTAACGTCTATCTATGTATACACGCGCATGGTATTTTGCTTACTTGTGCTTCGGGTGAAGATTTATACGGAACTTGCTGTAGGTAACTGGCGAAGGGCTTGCAGGTACTGTTCAAGCAGTTTTGGTTTTGATATGAGCGATTATTATTGATTGATATTCTATCAGCATAAGAACAATTCCTAATGTACAGCAGATAAGGACTGGTGTTACCCGAGGCGGGTGGGGGAAGGATTTCAATTCATCAAGAAGTCGAGCTCTCTTGCCTACACGCATTCATTTTATCTACTCTACAGGTACACTTGTCTACTGTGTAATAAATGGAGGGTGGAAGAACTCGGAGACTTGCAGCAGGAATCGTAGACGCGGCCCTGGTAGGTACCAGTAAGAAAATGGCCTTGGGGGTCGACTCGGAGTCTTCCAACACTCCGACGGCCCGCCAATACCTAATCCGCCAAGTCCAAGCCTTTTCTACTGATTTGGGTATCCACATGCAGTAGCAGCAACAACAGCGTTAGGTTGTAGAATGCGCGCGCATTGAACAGCAGCCTTATGACCACCCAGGTAGATGAATGGGTAGGTAGGTAGCACGCGTGTGAATCATCATAGACCTTGTTACGCTAACATGCTTAATAACACATGGCACGTCACCAATAACAACGTGAAGGGAAAATGACTGGGTAGTACTTTCACTACTCCATATTGTAGGACTTTTGGTATCTGATACAGAAGTAAAAACATAAACTACGTACCTACTAGTTTAACAGAGTAATGTCAAGTATGATAGCTATGTAGGTAACTAGGAAACGGCTAGCTTCCCTTCCACCTATTTACTTGCATGCGGGTCTTTGACAGCCCCGGCCATTTGTATACAGAGTGTGTAGCATGTCCATCTGAATCTCCACCTGTCGTGTTCGTTTACAGACTTGAAACATTCCTCAAAGACATTGTCTTGTTGTGTACTTGGCCCTTGTGAATTGAGGCCCCCGATCTCATCTTCCGGGTGTTCGGAAACTCCGTCAGCAGAACAGCTTGTCAATCTCCCGGGGTAGATTCATCCATGTTTGCCGTGCATTCGGCGCCGCCACGCCAATTGTTGCGCTCGCGTCCAGCTCACGGGTTCTGCCTGTCAGCAGCCTTTTGCTTACCGAATCCCCAACGTCCGCCGGCAACCTCTCGGTTGAGCCTCTGGAATGGCTTTTTTTTTTTTTTTTCATATTGTATTAGTCCATGGCGATAAACCTTCAATGACACTGCCATTGAAGCGCTGGCGCAATCGGGCGGCTTGTGCGTATCCGTCTGGCAAACGATGAACCAGTTGTCTGTCAAACATACCATCCTAGCATTTCCCAGACTCTTATCATGTGTCCTCGTCATATTTACAGTCACCCTCATCTGGGGCACATTTGGCGACTTCCTGCTATTTTCAACCATCTATTAGCCCTTGTCATCCCCGCCACTGTTCGCGTGAGTACTGAACGTTCGCCATTTAAGATGGTATATGCATATTCGGCCCATCGCAACCAACTTGTGAGGGTCAACTAGTAATCCCGTCTGAGCTACACATGTTTCTCGATACATATTGATTTATCCATTGCCAAACCTATTCAGGCTTATCACAAACTTGCAGTTATGATAACTGTTTGGCTCCATGGAATATATTGGAACGCAATATCCTTTCTAATTTTTCCCACCTTGTCGTCATTTTATTTTATTTTCATTCACAATAGGAAGCATACACGAATGACAAATGGCACGGTTTTCTTCCAGCGGCATGCTTGCTAATCCATCTCATATTGGTGGGCTCACACAGAGGATACAGGCATGAACCAAGTGCCAATAGCCCGTCAGACCCATACAAAATTCTTCACCATATTGTACTTAACCTCTGAGCCCTCGTCTAGATGCAGATTCGTCATCATCATGTCGACAGTCGGATCCCAGTCTGGCGCCAATACGACATCAATCCCGTTCCCCGCACCCTGGAGAAACCACGGCTTTGCCTTAAATGAGACGAGATGGGAGTTTAGCCTAATTATATCCTACCGTTTCCATGGTCATGACCATGCTTGGGTTTTAGCAGGTTGGGTAGGTTATCGTGGGTGTCAGGGACAGAGTTTCACCTGGACTGCTGCTGCACAAGTAGTCATTGCTCAGGCGGAGAGGCTGCTCTGCTTGCCTAGGTCATCAAACTGCCATGGCATCAGTTCTACCGACGACAAGTCAACCCTCGAGTACCTTCAGCCCACGATAGCAGAACTATCAATACTACCTTGGACCTCCCAAGCCCACACATGCAGCTCCTACACGAATATTTACCAATACATTCCTTGCAGATGCGACCTCGTGATGGCTGAGAGGGTACTCATGCGAATAGTAAAGTGAAAAATAAATAAATAAAGATGTTCCACGGACCTCTCTCCCTGGCTGGAAAGTATAACCTGGAAAAGACACTGCGCCGACGTCGGAAGAGACGTTGAAAACATGTAATAATGGCATTGAACTCATATTGTGGCTCGCGCCTTCGTCTCTTGCCCTCACGATACTGTCGCACAATACTGTCGCACAAATCCTTGGAACCACTCACAATAACACATAGGGGAGCCGACAATCGGGGCCGTTGCGTGTTCTGAAATAGCTGGAGGATACCATGGAAGATACTAACAGCATGGTTATTGAGAAGTGAGAGGGGTTTGGATCTGGAGATATCCTACGTAAGAGTTGGTTACGGACATATGGCGATGATGCGCGGCGATGGTGTCAGGCTGATGATATCGGTTGCTCCCCGGGGATCGTACACAGGCCATGGGCAATTTGCTGCTTCGCTTGGCGAGACAAATGCCAGGAGACCGTCAATACTTTGTTGCTCCATAGAACGACTAATCAGTAGGGTAGTGGCGTGATTCTCTGGTTCGCGAACGACTAAGCAGGACGTCAATGACTAGCTCAGGTCTAGAGCATCATGGCCGCTGAACTTCACTTGCAGGTAGACATGCTTGGTAGCCAGGAACCCGTCTTGATCGGTTCTCATCTGCACAGGGCTGTGAATATAGAGAAACTCTTGAGAAGCAAGCATTGTATCAGGGAGTAGCTCGACGGTGCGGCAGTGGTTGTACATCATGGGAACCACATCCGAGCCCTGTATGTATATAAGCAACTAAAGGGAAATCATACTGCTCATCCCTTGCATCCCGCAAAGAGTCTTCCGGCGTTCAATCCGGATCTGCATGCTTATTGTGCGGGGACGGCAAGATCATCAAGCCTTGGCAGCATATACTACCCCATGCACGATTGGCTATAACGCAGAACGCACCAACACGGGAAGTTATAAAAGCTGCTGGCTGGTGTGATACACTGTGTTCATTAGCATGGCGGCTGCATATATACTACCTTGGATTCCAGGCATTGATGGCGCATTGACACCTGGGACTGGGAATCCGGTATCCTCATGTGCATTTATCACACATCGAGGCCTGAACAATTGGTGGATTATTCGATTCTTGTTCTGAGTTCGTCCAAGCCCTCAGGAGATGGGTCGGGTCTCCGTTTGTGCAAACCAAGAGACTCGAGACATTGGACACACGAGTGCCTCTTCCCCCTCTTGATGCCATGAGTCTGATTGCTTGCTTGCTCTTCGATCCGCACGACTTTGTTGACCAGCATGAAATGCTTTGACATCTGTGCGTACACCCGTACAAGAGCAGATGGCCGGCTCAATGACGAGTAGAGACAGGATAGAAACTCCCATCGCTGCTGCCCAGCTCTCCAATGCGCCTCACGCCACTCGCGACACGGCACGGTACGTTACGGTACGAGTATCCGACTACCTAGACCGAGGCAGAGGAAAAGAAGACGGACGGCCCGCCTGCCTCCTCATGCGTGTACGAGTACGATGTTGAGGAGTAGCTAGCTAGCTGGTGTGGTGGCGTTCCGGTCTCACCATTACGAACTGTATCGCTAGACTAGCTATGTCACCAGACATGTTTCTACTAGCAGTCAGCATAATTCAAGATATATAAAGACAAGCATGATCTCAACGGCCGGCGGTCCCATACTTCACTTCCCCTTGCACAGAAATTCACGACATCGCACTTGGATCCATGGTCCCTACCTAGTAAAACAGACACAATGTCCATGGATATCAACCCGAGCAAAGACCCTGTTTTATTTTCTTCGGAATCGCGCGTTTCGGTCGTCATCGGTGTTGCCGTGGCCTTGATGCTGGGCGCAACTACGGCAGTCATCTTGCGACTTTATACGCGGAAGATCATACTAAACCAACTTGGACTCGACGATTGGCTATCCATAGGAGCGCTTGTATGATGATGAACCCACGTGCTCAGCTAGACATTGCGGACTGTCAAAGCTGAATGTGGTAACAGTTTTTTACACTGGCCACGGGCGTGAGTCAATGCTACAGTAAGTTGACTTGGGAATCTCTTGGGGATTTCTATTATCTCTGCCGTCTATTGTTGCTGATCTAGTGAATGATTGGTTGAATTGTAGTGACAAGAAACGGTCTCGGCCGGCATATTGGCACTCTCCCACAGCCCGATGGCTTCAAGATCTACATGAAGGTGTGTGACCCCCTTATTGTGGTGATACTTCCTATTGTGTCGAATCGACGATGTGCTGAAACAAGTTGCAAAGAACTTCTACGTTGTGCTAATATGGTATAACATTGCCACGATGCTGATCAAAATGACTTTCTTGACACAGTATTATCGCGTCCTGCCGACGACCAGCGTTAGGAAACTGTGTATCGTAGCAATGGTTATTGTCGGCAGTTGGAGTCTGTCGCAGATTCTCCTGACCATCTTCCTGTGTGTTCCTATTTCTGGGTTCTGGGATTCGTCAGTAGAGGCATCCTGCATTCCGACTCCAGCAGAGTGGTATCAGAACGCAGCCGGAAATATTGTTACTGACGTTGCCATATTCTGTCTGCCGTTTCCAGTGCTAGGGCGACTGAACTTACCACGGGCACAAGTAAGTAGTACCTATCTGATATCTAGTTCTACACGAACCCGGCGCACCCATGGCAGAGGTTTTAGCATCAGAAGCTAACCAGAGCACAACGACGACGATATTAGAAGTATGTGCTGCTTGGCATCTTCTCGCTAGGCTTCTTGTGAGTACTCTATATATAATCCCGCGAATCCCCCACAAGTCTGATTTCGCCCAGCACATGTACTATATCAGTCGTCCGGATCAAGTTTCTACATCTGGAGGTCGACGTCACGTGGGAGAACGCCGAAGCATCCCTCTGGTCTCTATGCGAGATATGCTCCGGAACCATTTGCTCATGCCTGCCCTGTCTCCGCCCGTTAGCATCACGGTGGTTCCCCGTATTCTCCACGCATCGGTCGCACGGCTATACTCGGCAGTCTGACTCGTACGCTCGAAACCTGAAGCCGCCGGGGGATCTGGAGGCCGGTCCATTGAGAGGCACTGCCGTCACGAGCAGACCATCGGGATCAGACAGCGACCTCATCTTTGGGCTCGAGGACTACAAACTTGGGACCATTACTTCAGCACACAACATTGAACGTGCGCCCGGGCTGTCAAGCACCAATCCCGTCAAACACGCCGCCACCACCACTGCGTCTGCAATGGCCGTGGGCGCTGCTAGCAACGTCGAAACGCCATGGACAGCTCAAGCCGGGCCCGATAAAACGTGGAAGCAACCAATCATCGCAGCGAGGATACAAGCGGGCAGCAGCAATACGCTTGTCGCGAATGGAAACGGGGCTCTACCCAGCCAGCATGGGATTCAGGTTCAACATGATATCACTGTACAAACATCAAACTGGTGAAGAAGAAGAGGGAGGATATGGCCGCAAAGGCCAATGATAGCAACGTCAGGTGCTGTGTCCACATGGAATAACAACACACGGCTCTACAGCTAGGCGAAAAAATTTGAATGAACAAATAATCAATAATACAAAACGTGCATTTTACTTTCTTCATGCTACCGATTCCTACCTTCTCACATTTTTCGGCCAGGATCTGTTTTCAAGTCATCAAAGGTTACTAGGTAATTGTTTTCATTTATTCACGGAGACTCCAATGCACTCCTGAGGCGACCCATGACCTCAGCTCTGAGTTCATCTCTAAGCTCGTCCATTTCAGGAACGCGTCGGACGGCAAAATCATCACAGTACTCTTGAAGTGCAGCGACACTTTGCTCCAACTCGGCCAGCGTGTCGTCATGTTGAACTACTGTAGCATCCAGGTCCACGACAGCCGCATCGCCCTTGTCTAGCCGCTGCTCTAGCACGAGGATATCGTCCTGCTGAGTTCTTGCTTCAGCCTGCAGTCTGCTTACTTTGTCCTCCCGTGCTCGTGCCTGCTCCTCGAGTATGGCAACCTTGTCCTGGAGCTCTTGAATAGTCTTCTCTTGCCTGGCAGCGACTTGCTTGACATCAGCAAGCTCAACAAAGAGCCGCTGGCAAAGTTGAAGCAGGTCATTTCCGTCACCCGTTGACCTCGCTGCTGACCCCGAATCCTGTTCCCCGGACCCTCTCTTACTGGGCCGATTTGATGGAGATTCAGATTCGCCACCGTCCGTGTCAGCGCTGCCAGACTGACGATGACGCTTGCCGTGACCCTTGGCTGAATTTATCGCCCATGGACAGTCTGGCGTCGTCGGAGGCATCGGAGGACCGGGGCCAATCTCATTATATGCTGGCGGGCTTTCGCCCTGGGTTTCTGGAGCAGCCTCCGAGTCCGTGCTCACATTATTCTCATCGATGGGCAGATGTCTCTTGCCTCCAGTACCCTCGTACAGTCTGTGCAGATGACAATACGAGGGTACTGGTCGGGACGACCGCGATTGGACAATATTGGTGATGGCCTGCAGCCGCGACTTGGACAAGGTGGCATGTTCTAGGTATATCGTGAGACGGCGGGAGGTGGCAAGGGACTCCAAGGCCTTGATGATATCCGCAGACAGGGCCCTCCTCGGGTGTAAGACTGTCCACTGGGCGGGCACGATCAAATGTGCAGGTTGAGACAAGTTGAAGTGAAGGCTAGTAATGCTGGAACTCAATTTCGCCTGCACAGAAGACGAGGCTTCGCATTGGAGCGACCAACTTAGGGAAGCAATATGATCTGGGGGTATGTGTATATACAGAATGGTATCTTTCTGTTTGAGACGAACAGGAACACGCAATCTGAAAAATGCCAAGAGTTGCGACGCATCATTCTCGACGCACACTTCGAAGGTAATGGATCTATTCTTGGGATCCGGGTGAAAAAGGTATTGGTCATTTTGCACTCCATCCAATTCCCAGCGGACAATGGCCTTCCCGCTCACTGTGAAGTTGCTGACATGAGTGTCCTCGATGCGACAGATTGGTGGCGGCGATGAGGGCGACAAGGCGTCGGTTTCCGCAGACATGATGGATGGTGGAACGGCGATCCAACTCTACTGTGTACAGGAGCATTAGTGAACAACAACAATCACGCAACTTACCACTACACGGTTCAGAGCGCGGCGCTCAGGCGAACAACTTGTCGGCGTGTTTCTGTCCCTCACGGAGGCCGTGAAAGATGGCTTTCCAACCAGCAATCCAACCAGTCAGTCTTCGCACGCCCCAGCGGGTTGATCAGAGACGAGAGCCGGTTCCGCTGACAGGCGAGCTACCCAGAGAGAAAGAGGTAGCCCCCTTCCCCCGATCCCGGTCCTTTCTACGAAGAGCTTGTCCTCGCTCGCTCGGGCGCGAGAGGCCAAAGATATTCGCAGAGTAGGAGGCCGGCTACAGTTGATCGGGAGCGCGGGTGACGGGCGTCGAGTCTCTTCGCAACCGGCAGGACGTAGCACGGCAGCTCTCAAAACGCTCGATCGTGAGGATGGAGGAGATGAGAATGCCTGAAGACTTTGATGGCTTTCAGCTTTGTGGATGGGACGACCGAATATGCTATGGGCGTAATAGTTTGGCGATGGATGGAGGGAAAGGAGACGTTAGTCAAGTGCCTTTCAGGTAGAACGAGGTTGGGTTGGAGAGAAGAGAATGTTGGAGCGTTGGGCCGGCCCCACTTGTCATTAGGCAGACGGACACCAATTGTAATCCCCGGCCGCTTTCGGTTTGGCGCCTATCTGCATTACCTTGGTTATCCCGCCCAAGCCACATCCAAATGGGATGCGTGGGTGGCTGGACGCTTGGCAGTGAGTAACACTTGGCTCATCAGCCACTTCAGCCAAAGAGAATGGAATTCTGTAATCCGCCTTGTATGTACTCCCTCTTTGCCTCTCCCCAGCGTCGACAGAGATGCATGCCTTGTGGTGATTCCTCGTCGGGTCGCAGAAGATGTGTACACTTCACATTCAATATAGTAGGTAGCTCGTGCCCTCTCTATCTGGAGCAATAGAGCCGAGCTTTGTGCTCTCAGGCATGTGGCTAGGAAAAAAAGACCTTGTAATGACTTTAGGTACAGCGTACATGCCCCGAGAGGGGCGGGTAGACAACTCCGCAAGCTGATTGATAAGAAGACATGACTCGACTGGGCGGGCAGTCGACCGACGTGTTATGTAGATATGTAGATACCCACGTATGGCGCACCTAATCAAAACCACCATATCACTTTGTATGAACAATTAGTGAACAGTGAATGAACAATAAAAACGGTCCTTCTATGTCAAGTTCAACTTACAAGTACAGAAACAAAAGCCGCATCATCATTCAATATGCAGACTCTCCGCCAGCCCCGAAGCGACACAGACGAGCAACAAGACATTGGAATTTCCCTGGCGTAAGTGCATCCGACCTGGGCGGCCTAGATGGCATCAACTGCGCTGTGTTCCTCCTGATTGACGCGGATCTGCAGCTGTCTGAGATGCCGGAAGCGCAAGGTATGCTGGTAGCCCATCACCTTTGGACGACTCTTGTCGAGACCCTTGTGGGAAGAGATCATAAATGTATTGTCGAAAAAAAGGGCAGACTTGATAATGCTCACTCGGACAACAAATGCAGATCAAGTGTGATCGCAAAAACCCTTGCGCAAAATGCCGCCAGGCTGGTGCCGAGTGCGATCGCGGACCCGGCGAAAAATTAAGGTGCGGTAACCTGCTCTCCCAGGACGAACCCATGCTGAGCATTTCATGGCCATCTCTAGACCAACGCCCAAGAGCTATGTCCAAGCACTCGAGAGTCAAGTGGCCTCGCTGGAAATTCTGCTCCGTGCAGTTGCAGACGCCGACAATGATCAGCGCGCGAGCATGCTCGCAGAATACGGATCTGACACGACAGCGTCCGCTCTGCCATCACTAGAACCAACAATCGGCGTCAGACCATTGGAAAATTCAGACACGAGAGACGGTGACCTGGCTCGGGCAAGGGCAAAGATGGGCCAGCTTCGTAGGCTGGTTGGAGGCGGAGCCGCTCAGTTCTATGGTGGCACCAGTCTTCTCCAGATATCCCTCTCTGGAGAATCACAACAACAACCCGACTCGACCGAAACGCGGTCGACCAGTCAAGATACCAGTGATATTGAATCCCAGGCGGCATATTCATCAGCAGGTGGCAGTCTTGGCTCCCCATCTGCTCAAATGTGCTACTATGAACCCCACAACGCCGTTGCGCAAGAGTTGATGGTGGCCTTTTTCAAGCATCAGTATCCGTTCAACATGTCAATACACCGTGAGTACTTTATAAGAGAATACCACGAGTTTACAGGACGACGCTACTCCGACGTGCTGATCTGTGCGATCTGTGCCACTGGCGCTCTCGCTACCGACGACGTTGCAAAGAGATCACTAGCCGAAGTCTACTTGCAACGAGGACAACAGCTCGTACAAGCCTCACTGGATCATCCCGACATCACGCTTTTACAGGCATTGTTACTCCTGGGCCAGTGCGAAATAGGGCGGGGACGCACCTCTCGAGGATGGCTGCTATGCGGAATGGCTTTTCGGCTGACCCACGAGATGGGCCTGCACCTTGACCCTTCCAACTGGGTTGTTACTCCTGCCGCCAGTGCTGCCACATTAGACAATGAAGGAGAAGAAGACATTGACCGCGAAATATTTCGCCGCGTGTACTGGGCGGCCTTTGCCCTCGACAAACAGCTCAGTCTCTTCTTTGGCCGCCCGCCAGCCTTACATACATATGAGTCAGATGTGCGCAACCCCGTGAGACTGCCTTACCCGCCCAACTGGAAATCGCTTCTGGATTCCTGCGGCATTCACGACAACTCGGTCGAAGATGGTGTCACCCACGTGGAGGCATTCATACACCAGGCTGAGCTGTCCAAGATTTTGCATCGCATGATTACTGGGCTGTTTGAAAACCGCAGGTCCAACCCTGATGATGCCATGGTTGTTGCCATGGTGCAACAGATCAACGTCTCCTTGAATAGGTGGCTTATGACACTACCAAGCCGGTTGCACTGGAATCAGTGGTCCATTGGACAGATTCCAGCAAGCGTCATCCATCTTCAGTAAGTTGATGACATTCATACAAGAGGAAGTTTTGTCATCTGGTCATTGTCACAAAGGGGGAAAGCTAGGCTAATGATCCCTCCCTGCTGCTATTTAGCTTCCTCTTCCACACGGCCATGATCACGCTCCACAGACCTCCTCGTAACCTCTGGAGCAAGCCGGGCGTATCGACGAGTGACGACGTTGAAATATGCTACGAGTCTGCAACAGCAATTTTGCGGCTCATTCGATCATATAAAAAGTATTACCAACTTTGTTTCCTGCCGCTCGACTTTGCCTATACCTTATCGACGACTGCCGGTGTCGTTTTAATGAGGCGGCACTTCGAGAACCTGGCTTGGGACCATCCCGACATTGCTCGCCAACTCAGCCAGCTTCTGCAAGCCATGGATGAGATCAAGGGAGTTTGGCCTTGTATCGTGGAGGTTAAAGATAGCATTCTCCGTGCCCGTGATAAACAAGGCATGATAACTGCTCAGCCCAATGCAAGTCAAAATTCATATTTTATTCCACACTTCTTTAATATAAACGATTATTCGTAAATAACCAGGGTTATAATTAAGTTAACTGGTAGTTAACTTAATTAAATTAACTTAAAATTTAATTAATTTAATTATTAAATAAATTTAATACGTTATGGTCAAGGTTGAAAACGCAGTCTGCAGTTAATTGGTGCAGTTTAAGTTAACTTAAGTTAGTGCAGTTGCAGTCCGGATTTTTGCTAACTACATGCAGTTACTTATCAGTTTAAATCCGGATTTTATTAACTTAAATTAACTGCGCAGTTAATTATAGTTACTGCAATATAAAATTAAAATAATTAATTAAAAATCGAATTATTATTATTTTAATAACCTTTTAACTTCTTTAAATATAATAATAAACGGTTAATTTAAAGGTTTTAAAAGAATTAATAAAATTATTTTAATTAATTAAATAATAACTATTTTATTATTATAATTAGCAGGGTTAGTATAATTAGTTTTAGTTTTTAGTTTTAGTTCTTAGTTAACTAAACTACTTAGTTTTACTCAGGCTATTAATTAAACTAACGTAGTTTTAATCAGGCTGCTAACTAAATCACTTTAGTTTTAGTTAATACATTAACTAAATCAATTTAGTTTTAGTTAGCACTCTAACTAAATCAATTTAGGTTTAGTTAATTATTTAGTTAACTAAAGAATTTTTAAAAACGTTGAAATTATTTAATAAAAATAAATAAAATAAAAACGACAACGTAATTAATTAAAGAAAGCTTTAATTTATTACATTTATTAATTATTTTAATTATAATTAATTAAATAAATAAATTAAAAATAAAAACAAACCTTTAGTTATTTAGTTAACTAAAACTAAAAACTAAATCATTTAGTTAGTTTAGTTTTAATCACCTTATTAACTAAAATCTTTAATTTTAATCAGGCTGCTAACTAAATTAATTTAGTTTTAGTTAGCATTTTAAATAACTAAATTTAGTTAATTAAAAACTAAACTAAGTGTAGTTTTTAGTTAATTAATGTTAGTTAATTATTAGTTAACTAAATACCAACCCTGATAATTAGCAATTGATTAACTTAATTATAAGGTGCAGTTTGCAATTAGTTTGCTATTAACTTAACTTTTTGCAATTGCAGTCCGAGTTTTAACTAACTGCAGTTAGTTAAGTTGCAGTTTGAAAATCGTGCAGTTAAATTAACTGCACTACAGTTAACTAGCAGTTAACTGCATTCCAACCCTGCTTTTTATAATTATTTTATTTATTTATTTAATAATTAAAATAAATAAATCTTTAAATTAATAAATTAATTAATATAACGACTACACTACGGGTTTCTAAAATAAACCTAAAGTATAAAAGGTATTAGGGTTTATGCTAATAGGGAACGGTAGTTTTAAAAAAAGGTATTAAGCAAAAAATATCTAAAGGTAAAAGTGATTAAACTAATTTATAAATATAATTGTTAAAGCGTATTAAATGTTTTATTTATAGGTAAAATAAATATTTAGATTAATTATTAAGGTAATAATTATTTATATAAGAAATCTTTTTATAATATATATTTATTTATTTTTTACTAATATTTTTTTAAATTATAATGCTAAGCCGATTTTATAGTCCTAAAGTCGAAAAAGTTTAATAATTTTAATAATTTAACCGTCTAAATTATTGCCAAAATTGTAATCCTATTAGGCAGCTGGCTGGCGGCTGCCAAAAATAGTGGTTCCTGTTTTAACCTGTTCCCGGCTTTCGGTGCTAAGCCCCTCCCTTTTTTCCTTAAGCGCCAACACATTTATTTATTTTTATGCAAAGGTGCATATTCGTAACAATTAAGTTATTAACTTAACTTAATTAATTTAGTTTAAGTTTACCTCCTAACTAAATCAATAAGTTTTACTTAAGCCTTTAACTAAATCATTAAGTTTTACTCAGCCGGATTTTTAAATTAAGTTATTCCTAACTCAATTAAGTTAACTGCCAGTTAACTCAATTGCAACCCTGTTAATTCCATTTAATTAATTTAGTTTGAGTTTACCTACTAATTAAATTATTAAGTTTTATTTAACCTGCTAACTAAATTAATTGAGTTTGAGTTAGCATTTTAAATAACTTAATTAAGTTTAGTTAATAACTCAACTTAATTGAGTTAATTTAAGCTTATACTTAATGCCAACCCTGTTTAAGGTTAATTTTAGTATTAATCGAACGATTTTCGAAAATTTAATAATACGTAAACGATTTTATATAAATATAAATACCGAATTTAACGAAACCGAATTATATAATAAAATTTTTTATTTTATAATTATTAATCGATAATAACCTTTTTTTTAATTATTAAATTCCGAATTAATAAAATATTTATTTTGATATTTAAAAAGGTAAATAAGCTTTAAGCTTTTATTTTATTTTATTTATTAATTTGACGTATAAAGATATTCCGATTATTAATCGCTATAAAATTAAATCGATATTAAAATTAATTTTTGCAAATTTTTTATTTATCTTTAATAATTCGTTATTTTCGAATATTAAAATATTCCGCAAATTTTCGATTATTATTAATTTATAAAAATTAAATAATAATATCTTTTATTTAGAAATTATTTATCATTTTATCGATGCCGATTTTAATTTAATTTATATTGCACGAATGTTAATACAGCATCGTATAATGCATAAAACTAGCTTTATAACGCATATTATATCGTTATAATAGCTATAAAACCTATCGAAATATCGTTAAATAACGATATATAAGAAATCAGTAGAATATACCCTATACTAACTTACAATTAATATAGCACCATTTATAGCCATTATTTACAATGCTATATAGTTAATAAGTTATTGCAGTTGACAGGGTAGGTAAAATTAGTTTGAGTTTTGAGTTTGAGTTTAGTTAACTTAATTGAGTTGAGTTTTATTCAGGGTGCTAACTAAATCAATTGAGTTTGAGTTAGCACTTTTATTAACTCATTGAGTTTGAGTTTACCTACTAACTAAATTAATTGAGTTTTACTTAAGCCACCAAGGTTGAAAATTTTAGTCTTAGTTTTTAGTTTTAGTTAACTAATAACTAAACTACTTAGTTTTACTCAGCCTGCTAATTAAACTAAATAGTTTTAGTCAGGCTGCTAACTAAATCAATGTAATTTTAGTTAGCACCCTAACTAAATCAGTATAGTTTTAGTTAGCACCCTAACTAAATCAATTTAGTTTTAGTTACTTTAGTTTAGTTTAGTTATTAACTAACAGGGTAGGTAAAATTAATTTGAGTTTTGAGTTTGAGTTTGAGTTAACTCAATTGAGTTGAGTTTTATTCCGGGTGCTAACTAAATCAATGAGTTAAACTCACTAATTTTAATAACTCAATGAGTTTTACTTAAGGTCCTAACTAAATCAATTGAGTTTGAGTTAACTCAATTAAGTTGAGTTATTAACTCAATAACTCAAGATTAATTAATTTTAATTATAAAATAAATAAATAAATTAATATTAAAATGTTATTAAATTCTATAAAAAACCAGAATTAAAATGCATACATTACTTTTATTTTACGATTTTTAATTAATTTTAATATTAATTTTAAAGTTTAATAAAATAATTGGATAAAGAATAATAAAATTTTAATTATTTTTTAAAAAATTTAATAAAAACGGTATAAAAAAAAAAGTAAAGCGTTTTATTTATTGATTTTTTCTTTTTTTAATCACGGTATTATATTATTTTAATTAATTAATTATTAATTAAAATTAATAATTTTTTGAGTTAGTGAGTTAATTGAGTTATTAACTCAACTCAATTGATTTAGTTTGAGTTTACCTATTAACTAAATCATTGAGTTTGAGTTAGCATTTTTAATAACTCAATTGAGTTTAGTTAATAACTCAACTCAATTGAGTTTGAGTTAACTCAATTGAGTTAACTCAAGCTCACACTCAATGCCAACCCTGTTAACTAAAAACTAACATATAAATTCTTTTTTTTCAACTTTTTAAATATATTTTAAATTCTTTTTAAAATCTAAAAATTAAAAATAATTTTAACTTCGTAATTTTAATAAATAATTAATTAAATTCTAATTCAATAATTAAAGGTTAAATCTTTATATAATTTAATATATTTTAATTATTATAAAAAAAATTAAATAAATTAATATTTTTAATTTTTAAATATTTAATTTTAAAAAATCCAATTAACGAAAATAAATTTTTTAGTATTTTAACTTATTATATCTTTTTAATTAAAATAGCTATTATAATTATTCCTTTTATATAAATTAACGCTAAAGGTAATAATAAAACTCCGATAACCTTCGAAGTAATCCGAGCTTTATTAATAAAGTTATTAATTTATTTTACGATTTTAAAAAAAACTCCGATCGAAATCCGAGCTTAATTTCTATTAAATTCCATTGCGGGGTAGGGTAACTAGGGTCTTATCTTTCGATCCATACGGTATTTTTTCAACGTATGGATCGACGAATAAAATAACGGTTCCTAATTTAATATCTGGCTATAGGGTAGGGTGACTGGGATCTTATTTTTCGATCCGTACGATATCTTTTTAACGTACGGATCAACGAATAAAACACCACCTGCTAATCTGATATCTGATTACAGGGTAAGCTAATTAGGGTCTTAAACCCTTTGATCCCCGTGATATCTTTTCAACATACGGATCAACGAATAAGATAATAACCGTTATTCTTTTATCTCTTTATCTCTTTTTTTATCTTTTATCCTATCTTTTCGGTAATTTTACCATCCAATAAAATTAAAATAAATTATCTTAAATCCGTATAATGGATTTTACTTATCTTTTACCGTAAAATCCACCAATAATATTAGTTTTTATAATCTTAATTCCATAAAGTCCGTTCTTTTAATTTAAAATCAACGTTATAGCCGATTATTAATTAGAAATCGAGTTTATAGATTAGAAATCCATTTTAAATCCGATTTTAAATTAGATTTCACTTAAATATTAAAGAAGTAGATTTCCCATCCATAAAATAATTTCTTTTTTACCATAAACCAT